AGGACCCAGATTGTTGGGGGCAATATGCTGACTCTCTGTAAACCGCTTAGAGAGGCCTGAAAGGCCTATGAAGCGGTATATATAAGTCTACTGCTGCTGCTGCTACCCCATTAAGGAGGAAACAGCCACCAGACGTCTCAAGACACTGAAGCAGGGACAGGGTTCCTTGCAGGACTATGTTCCTTTTCTCTCTCTCTCTCTTTTCTTTTTTTTAGGTAGGTGATATGATTAGAAGTTAGATAGGACAGAAGGAAAAATATTGTAATAAAGGGTGACATGATTATGAAAGCTATAATTAATGATAGAAAAAAGAGAAAGGAATACTAGTACATATATTTTTATATAACAAAATGGAAGTAATGACAAGAGATTGCAACCTATTATAAATGTGTATTATTATTAGAAATACATAAGTTGAATGAATGTAATAATTACGATTAACTTTACTTATTTTATTTGTATCAGAATATATGATATCCAGGTGCCACACTGTTCACGCATTGATTTTATATATTTATAAAAAATAAAAAAATAAAAACACTTGGAAAAAAAAAGATGCCAAAGGTTGAGAAACACTCCCTAACTACTACATCACTGTTGTCTTTTTCCTTTATCTGCAATTCTGCAAGACTGTGGTCAAAGATGCATCTAGCTTGCAGAGTTGTTGAGAAGTACTATTTTGGCACTCTCATGCGTTGAAGCCTCTTTTAACCTTTGAATCTCTGCATATATTTTTTTTAAAGGTAAAAAACCAAGATGCATTCTTTCTAAATGAAATAAGAGTAATAATTAACAGTATCAAAGTCAGAAGGGGCCTTGGAGGTCTTCTAGTCCAACTCCCTGTCTAGGCAGGAAACCCTACACCACTTCAGACAAATGGTTATGCAATATCTTCTTTAAAACTTCGAGTGTTGTAGCATCCCCAACCTCTGGAGGCAAGTTCTTCCACTGATTAATTGTTCTAACTGTCAGGAAATTTCTCCTTAGTTCTAGATTGCTTCTCTCCTTGATTAGTTTCCACCCATTGCTCTGCCCTCAGGTGCTTTGGAGAATAGAATTATTGGCCTCAAGTTGAGAAAAGAATTCATTTGTTTACCAAAGAATTTGTTTCTTTTGAACATAATTTGGATAAAAAGCAAGAATGATTTCAACTCAGCATTTGACCCTGAATTAGGTCATTGTCAGAATCATCTATTTTACAACAGCTATGCATTGATAACCTTCTAAATCCCAAAGGAGCTTTTTCAGGAAGCAACTGGACTTTCTTGTTTGTTTTTTCCATCACTTTGTTGAGAATGGAAGGATTTATACTCCTTGCAGACAACTGGTCATTTGCATTTTTAAGAGAGTCATTGAGGCCACTTGGAGATTTATCTGTGTCCCCAAGGTCACCTGAGTGCAAATAGCTGTGAAGTTACAATGGCACTGAACTAGGAGACCTATGGCTAGCCCTTAAAAGTTGTCATCGGTCCAGTGATTGCTAAGTGATCATGATTTGGTGCTTGGCAATTGGTTTGTAATTATGATGGTAGCATCCTGCAGTCACATTATTGTTTTCCACAAGGTTAATGGGGAAGCCAGCAGGATTATAAATGGTAATCTCAAGGCTGGAGAATGCTGCTACCATGTGCAATTTCCCTACTGTTGGCAAACAGGACTGCCAGAAATGCTGTCATGAGTAAGTACAGGTACATGAGATTGCACTGCTTAACAATGGAATCCTTGACCCCAATTACCATTGTAAAGTGAGGACTATCTATATTCCTAACACAGTGAAAAAGGAATTACAACAAAGCTTTGATATGTTAAGAAAGACTGGGTGTTAATTCATTATTTACTTACCTCAAGCATATTATAGATGATGTAGAGTTTAATTACAGACTGTCCTCTTATCAGATGGTACATCATGGAATAGTCAACGTAGTGCATCATGAAGTAGCAAATTACAAGTATTACACCTTTGAAAATATCACACACCTGGGCTGGCTGCAGCAAGCGTCTATCACTGAAATATAAAATTACAAAAAATAAAGAACACATTTGATACAGATGAAGCCACTGATTACTAAATACATTAGCTTCCCTACAGAAAGAGCACTTCTAGCCCCTGCTTGGGCTTCTTCTTCAACTGGCAGATTCCTTTCTGTTAGTCTAATAGGATGAGATGGCAGTTGGTTTCTGTTTTTGTGACCGGTTTCTGTTTTAGACTTTTTTACTTTTACTCATACCATTTAGAGATTTGCTAGCCTCAATTGTACAAACTACTTGAGCCTTTGAAGCTGAAAGTTAATAGTCTATTAATTTTAGAGACATATGAAGAGTTAACTAAGCACTAATATTTTAATGAGAAAACCTGTTTTTACAAATTTCATTTCTACTGCACCCATAGTTTGAAATTTTGTGAATGTTTTCCTGATGTTCAAAATCCTCTGTAACAGTGGTGGGTTCCAGATCCTGGTGCAACTGGTAGGGTGCAATGGGGCCACACATCCATCACATGCACACGTGCAGCACGCGCACAGCGGAGCATCACGCAGGCGCTGTACGCTCTGTGCGCGAAAGCCCCGATAGGCTCAAATGCAGGTAAGGAGCACAGGTGGGTGGACGGGCCCTCCAGAGCACCATACCAGAATGGTACCTGGTGCTCCCAGCAGGCACCGGTACACCTGTACTGGAGCGTACTTGTCATATCCCACCACTGCTCTGTAGTATTTTCAAGAGCAATTATTCCACATTTAAGGATCCACAGTGTGCCCTGAGGAGTTTCTAAGGCTCTATTAAGTGGTTGGCTTATCTAAGAGATAGACCCAGCATGGAGCTGTCCCAAATGTCAGGAGAAGTGTGGTTGAGTTTTAAGCACAAAATGAATGCATTAATGTTCTTTCACCTTATTCTGCCACATTGCCTCATGTGATCTTCAGTACTAGATTTTATTTCAATTATGCAAAATTCATGTTAGAGATTGGAAAATGGAAAGCAGACAGGCAAACTCTTGGTATACTTTTTTTTTTTAAAATGACCCTAAATGTGAGCTCCAAAAGCATGCTTTTTACAACATAAGGACAGAGGCAACTTACCCCTCCTGGTTTGGTGTAGTGGTTAAGGCACCAGGCTAGAAACTGGAAGATCATGAGTTCTAGTCCTCCCTTGGGACAGGCCATGAAGCCAGCTGAGTGACCTTGGGCCAGTCATTTCTCCTCAGCCCTAGGAAGGAGGCAAAGCTTCTTTGCCTCCTTCTGAAAAACCTTGACACGAAAACTGCAGTCTCCAAGAATCAGACACAATCGAACAGAAGAAAAAAAAAACTCCAAATAAATTTTGTCTTCTTTAGAAAAATTTCAAAATATCTAAGTTAAATTAAATCTGATGAATACAAAAGTACATTCGAATTTTTAAGTATCAGAATAGATTCCTATAAAAATATTGTAGAAAAACCTAAATAATAATACAGCTACTCTGAAAGTCACATTAATATTTTTCCAAACTTACTTTAAATCATCCTCAACAGCCAAAGTTATCCTAAATAAATTCTATACACAAACAACATCAGATCCAGCTGCTTGTTAAGACTATATCGAGGTGCAAGGCTTATCACAAACAGTCAATATGAGCACAGACCTAAGTATATATAAATGGAAATAGTGACAATTCAGCAAGAAAACTGTCAAGATCATGGAACAAGGACAGATGTTATACAGCATCCAAGATCCTGGATGTTTGATCCTGGATGCCCAGCAACTCCACCTGCTGTGAAGCTTCTACAAACCATGATTTTTAAAATTCAGATTTTATACTAAGTTATGGTTTGAAGCAACACCTTAATTCTGCAAATGATTTAGATCTGTGATGGCGAATCTATCACATGCGTGCCACAGGTGGCACACGGAGCCCTCTCTGTGGGCATGTGAGCTGTTGCCCAGCTAACTCCACCGCACATATGCATGCGCCACCCACTGGCCAGCTGATTTTTGGGTCTGTGCTGCGCCTGGAGGAGATGCATGCACATGTATAAGCGGGACAGGTAGCATGAGGTTAGTGCTGGGGGCGGTTATGTTGCATGAACCCCCAAGCCCTGTTTTTTGTTTCAGGAGGCTTTAGGGAGGCCTGCTAGGCCCCAAACGGGGAGAGGTTGCGCACATGTGCAGGGGGAGTGTGGGGTGTTGTGCACACATATGTAGGGGAGTGGGGCACATTGCATTATGGGTGTGGCCACGCGGGCAATTTCAGCACGTGAGAACACAAAGGTTAGTCATCACTGATTTAGATCATTCCATTGAAGAGGCTTCACTGCCAATCTCTTATGTTTAGAAAACATAATAGAAAATAACTAGTAATAGTCCTTAAGTTAGTTATCACAATTGGGACCAGTAACTCAGTTGTTTTTGATAGCTGAATAAGACCCACCACTATGCTCATGGACTTAACTTCAGCTTTCCTTTGATTTCAGACCTGAAGGTCATAAATGCAAGGACTGGTCGTGGTTATTTTTTATTACCGTAGTAACTGTGAAACATAATAATAGAGTCATGGCTATTATAAGGAAAATCAAGGGATATGGCAATCAAATAATTCAATTTCAGCAGAATTTGCAGTTTAGACCAAATCAGCATCAATTCTACAAATCCATCAAAAATGAGAAAGGAACAAACGCAAATAATGGAAAGCTTGATAAAGCTTTAGAACTCTAAACTTTGGAAAGGTTTGTGGGAAAACAACAGGAATCACACTGGGAATGAAAAATGGATCAACCAAGCTGAAAGTACTCAGTATGGAAGAGATTAGGATGGCTAAGGAAATAGTATGAAAGTAATCAGAGAAGGTAAAAAACTGGAGTGATCCTGAACCAGATGAGCTCCATGGAGTTTGGCTAAAAGCACTGACAAATTCATATTTGTGGTTGGCATACTGATGAATATAATTTTGCAAGCTGTAGAAAATGGAAACTGGCTAGCAACTGGAAGAACATTCCCATTTCTCAGAAAAAGAAAAAGAAGGGAAATGAGGAGAGACACATACCTGTTTGCAACAACAAATTCTCTTAAAGGCATATTTATAAATCAAATCTAGTTATTTGAAAATAAACAAATTATTTCCTCTAGAATAAAAAGGGTGCTGCAAAAGTTTGAAAGGAATAAATGATGGGTTTGATTGACAAATTGGTTTTAAGGAGTGGAGTAGAGTATAACAGACTTCTTTATTCGCCAAGCGCGACCGGCTAGGAAAAAGCAGGTTCTGCTTGCATAAATCCAACCGGACAAACTGCTGTTGGGAGGCCTTCGGACTGAAAACCTGTCCTGGAGGGACAGGGGAGAAGAAGGGATGGTTCTGATGTCCTAGAGGACCCGGCAATTTCTCGGGAAGTTGGAGAAAACCCCTTCAAACTGGCAGCGGGGTGATGGCCATAAGTGAATGACCGCTATAAAGCTGGGGCACCTGGACTAAGTTATTGGACAGAAGCGGTGTCTGGAGCAGAGTGTTGAAACCAGGTGAGTGATTGACCAACAGAAAAAGGAAAAAGCTGATCTTAATCTTAAAAAGGATCCCGAAGCGAAATCTGTACACCATGATGCCCTGTACACAATCTATACAATATGACCTCCTGGGAAGTGCAAGAAATGCACAAATACATAGACAAAAACCTAGCACGGGGGTTCATCGAGCCAGCCAAGCCACGGGTCGCAACGCCAGTTCTCTTCAAAGAAAAAAAAAGACAGAACTATGAGACAATCTGTGGACTTTAGAGGAATCAATGCATGCACAACCTACACCCACTACCCCTCATGAAGGATATGTTATCTCACCTAGTTAAGGAAAAAGTCTTCACCAAACTAGACCTCAGAGAAACATACTACTGAGTACGCATCAGGGAAGGAGATGATTGGAAAACAGCGTTCAACTGCCCCCTAGGGAGCTTCCAATTCAAAGTGATGCCTTTCGGACTGCAGGGAGCCCCCAAAGTGTTCATGCAGTTAACAAACAAGGTGCTGCACACGCACCTCTACAAAGGGATCCTCGTCTACCTGGATGACATCCTCATCTACACGGAGACCATGAACAACCACATACCCCTGGTCTGAGAGGTACTGAAAAAATTTCTGACAGCCAACCTGTACGTCAAGCTATCAAAATGTGAAGTCCACTGTGCACAGCTAGACTACCTGAGTTACCAAGTGTCAAATGAGGGAATAGAGATGGAATACAAACCGTCCTAGGCTGGCAAATCCCTCGCACCTGCAGAGAACTACAAAGCTTCCTAGGGTTCACAAACTTCTACAGGCAATTCATCCCCTCCTTCGCGAAGATTGCCAAACCCATGACAGACCTCCTAAAGACAGGAAGCCCAGGAACAAAACCTCACCTGACAACCTCTACAGTGAGACCTAACCTGCCAAGAGGCATTTGAAACACTAAAAGAAATGTTTGCAAAGGAACTGATGCTGAAGCATCCTAATCCTGAGCAACCCTTCGTTATCCAAGCAGATGCCAGTGACATGACAGTGGGAGCAGTGCTACTCCAAAAAAACAGGCAAGGAAACCTACAGCCCTGTGCCTACACTTCCCTCAAGCTCACAGAGAGACGATGGGCTGCATGGGAAAAGGAGGGTTTCACAGTGAGATGGGCACTGCTAACCTGGTAATACCTGCTAGAAGGGGGCCAGAAACCAGTCAAAGTCTGGACTGACCACAAAAATCTGGAGGCTCTCAAGAACCCATGGAAACTATCACCCAAACAAGTCTGATGTGCTCAATACTTCAAACATTTCGACTTCGTACTAAAGCACACTCCAGGGGGGAAGGAACTTTCTAGCTGATGCCCTCTCTAGCATGCCCCAGTACAAATGTGAACGGGAGCAGGTGGTGGATGCCATCGTTCCCCCTACTCAAATAACTGCCCAAGTGACCACCAGACGACAATGCCATGACCA